TCGGACATCCGGGCGGATAGAAACAAAGCTTGGCTTTGGACATTCGGGCGAACGTCCCTTTATGAAAGCTGCTTATATTAGTAACAGAGCAGTGAACTGAAAAGAAATGTTTCTCTATCATTCAACAAACAAAACACACATGGGTGACAGAGATACTCTGAGAAATAAATTATATATCATCCTCAGCCATCACCAACCCATCACTCAACGGGAAGATGATGATGGGCTCTGTCAGACACAAATAGAGCACTCATCTCCGTTATATACAGAGGCTTGGGAAATGAAGAAGACACACTGATACATAGAGCAACAAAGCAACATGCTAAACATTTTTCAACCCTTCTTCAATCACATATTCTTCATCTCTCTGATTTTCTGAAGAGATCTTCGGCTGAACTTTCCTTCTTCTTCAGAAATTATGTAGTGAACTTTAGCCTTAAGCATATACTCCTGTGAGAGGATTTTTTTTTAAAAAGAAATTAAATAATCTGAGCATCAATATTGTGTATCTATCTTTGAAAGATTATTATTGTAGCTTTCTTTGAAAACAAAAATCTAACATTCAATCTTGTAAGAGTGCCGTACATTTAGTGTTCTTGATTCCTTGAAAATGATTGTGAATCACCTAAGATTTACAAGTTTTTAGACTTGGAAAGTCTGTATAAAATCTGTGAAAGATTGCTCCATTTGTGAAGAGGTTGCAAGCACCCATGTGAAGGTAAAAGATAGTGGAAAATCTCAAGTGAAGCTTGAGGAGTGGATGTAAGCTTGGTTGAAGCTCAACCATAATAAATTTATTTGCCTCATCTTCCCTAATCTCTTTTATTCCTCAACTGCTATAACTATCTGATGTACTCATTGTGTTACTGATATAGCTGTTATAGTATTTGTTGTTTTTGTGCTAATCATCAACTCTCTTCTCTCACCTCATATTGCCATCTGATACTCTTCATTCATGGAGTGTTAGAGTTATAATTGTTTATTTATCTAAATCATAATCTGTTAAGTTAAAAATCATTCACAGCATTTTTGTTTAGCTACTTCACTGTTAAGTTCTTCATTGTGCTTAATCATTAACTGTTATTCATCATCTATCTTCCATTAATTATTTGTTGCACTAGTTACAATTTTTATTGGGGTATTATTAATTTTTATTTGTAGAAATCCAATTTTGTTGTGAATATTTTTGCAACCATTACAATGTTTTATAAGTTAAACGAAGATGAGATATTTTAAAAATAAAAACATGCAAAAAGCATTGCAAATAGATAACAACAAATAGAACTTACATGTGGAGTCTAACACAATAATATGTAGATTTCATATAGAAACTCTATTAATTAACTTTTTCCATTTTCCCAAATTGCTTACAAACAAAAAGTAATCAACATTTATAATTTAAAAAATTGTATTGCCACCTACCTATAAAAGATATGTGAACAAAAGTTGCAGCCGTAATTAATAACCAAAACAAAATTTAATATATATATATATACATATGCGTGGTATTCCGGAAGTATTTTGTAATTTTCCCTCGACTTCTAACTGGCTCATGTAGCTACCCTTTCAAGATAAATATTCAATGAAAAGTTTAAAGGAGATTAGTTTAGTTAATGAGAAGATTAAAGAATATGGTGGGTAGGAATTCTAACAAGGTTCAGTTAGAGATTGATTGTAAGGTTAGAAATTGTAAAAGTAGCTAAGTGAAGGGGAATACAAAAGCATGACTGAGAAGGGAACTAGAAACGGAAGTTACAAGTGGTTAAGAAGGGGAGTAAAATGATTTAGAGGAAGTGCCTAATACGGGCAGGTTCGGGAAAAGAGGTCAATGCTGCTCTTCAAAAAATTTCCATTTCATTCTCCAATTTACTTTTGATTTTAACAAATTTTAAATAAATTTCAATATGTAATTGTAAATTAGAAATTTTAGTTGTTATGTCATTGGAGAAAATATAAAATAAAAGTATATATATTTATCTTTTATGCTAAAAATAACTTTTATAATGGGTAACTTATATTTAATTCTAATGTACTTTTATTAAAATCTCACTTTCATCATTATAACAGTCAACTCTTTACACTTTAAATCAAGTTTCATTCACATCCTTCTGTTTATCTATCTATTGTTAATAAAGCAAATAGAAATTGATAGTGGGGGCACTAAAGTGAGATTTCAGAGAAAATCTAAAGATTAAAATAAGATTTTAATAAAAGCGTAAGAGTGTTAATGAGACAATAAAAATGTCATACATGATTCAAATAACAAATTACAATAACTTTGTTAACGGTAGATGGATAGAAAGATAAGATTGTAACTTGACTTAAAGTGTAGAGGATTGATTGTTATAATTGAAAGTTTAAGGTCTAAAGTAAAATTTTGATAAAACTACAGTGGTGTTAAGTATAATTAACCCTTTTTATAATTCACTTAATTTTTTTTTGCTCTAAATGTTAGAGATCGATCACAAGATGATGTTAATACCTAAAATAAAATATTACCGATTACAATTTAAATGAAAACAATTTATTGACATAATCCCAACTATTTTTTCTTTTAAATTTTAAAATAATTTTTTAGTACGACATAAGTAAAACATTCGATGATCACCCCCCTATGAATTGAAAAAATCAACAATCTTTGATCATTCGTCACATGCACATTTGTCATGTGTTTAAGGGGTGATTATTCAATACTCTCGGAGTATAGACACGTGGTATTTTATAAGATTTTGATTAGTATGGACACGTGGTATTCTATAAGATTTTGATTAGTAGAAATGTGTAAAAATCCATAATTTATATTGAAAATGAAGAAACAATATGAGATTAAATAATTGATAATCGATTTAGAGTATAATCACATAATATTTTGAAAATATTAAATAATTTCCTGTGTCTAAGTGCGCCTCTAAAGCGCCACAATGCTCCCAACTACTCGCGGACGCGCATGTGCGAATAACATCGGTGGAACATATAAATACACACTAGCATGGCCTTTGATTCTCTTTAAATTAAGAGAATCTTTCGTGACGTCATTTCTTAAGGCATTACTTTGTCCTATTTTTCTTATGTGGGACTGGATTTTATAGAAGTAGGTTTAAAAAAAAAAAATTTTGACATTTTTAAAAAAAATGCGTAAAAAGTAAAAAAATAATGTAATCTAAAAAAATCGAAAAATCAAAAAGTTGACTTGTAACTCAATTGTCAAAATAAATCAAATTATTAACTGCCACGTACTACTACCTATTAAAAATAATAATATTAAAACAATAATATTTTATTTATTGTTTCACAAATCATTATGATATTAATATAATATAGGTCTCATTACTTAAGTATATTTATAGCATGGACAAATGAAATAATTGACAAATTTTGACATAAAAATATGATTTTTTTTTTTTTACTGAAAAAAAAAAAGATGCTCTGAGGTGTCATCATGGCATCCGTGGGCCCAAGCTTTTGCCGGCTTGATTTAACCCATAGGAAGGAACCTACTACCGAGGCACTAGTGAAGCTTATCAACCGCCTCAATCAAAGCCAAGTTTTGATCAGAGTACAACGCGAGGTCTCCGTAGAGAGCCACTGGAATATCCAATATTTTTGCGCCCCCCAGGAGTTGAAGTTGACTCATGGCTGTGAGAAGACAATGCCTTCACCATTGGGCCATCGCCCTCGGTGGTGATATAAAAATATGATCATTCTATCTTTAATGACAAAAATAAATAAATAATGAGAAATGTAATCCTATTTATGTTTGGTTATAATAAAAAATATATGGGAAAAGAAAGGGGGTGAGAAATAAATAAAGAAATAGGAGATTTTTTAGGACATCAATTCTATTTTATAACTAACACAACCAAACATAGTTGGGATTTGAAATTCTATTAATTCTTTCTCCTTTTCCTTTCATTTCCATTTCCCTTTCCATTTCCCTTCCCAAATCTCCCAACCAAACACAGCGTAAATAAATTGATTTTTATTTCTAAAAGAACTCACCACTTGTGGTATCAGAGCGGTTTCTCTGAAATTTTGTTTTCAAAATTTGATCAGTGACTCAACACTTCATTTGTTGATAGTCATGGAATCAATAGGCTGCAGTAATGATAATAAACAGACATTGGTGGACATTATAGTGTATTTAAAAGAGACTCAATGCCATGAACATGTAAAAATTGTTGACATTTAATCAACAAATGGGCAAAATGGTTGACTACTCATCTCAAGATGATGGTAAGGAAAACGACCTTCCATTTCTAACAAGTATAATTCTTAAGGAAGACGTCTAAGGGGCTGTTATTCGTCTACTAATAATTTTTGATTTTGACGAAAATCCAAACTTATCCAAGGAAAAGGAAATGAAAAAAAAAAAAAAACAACTACGAAGGTCAAAGGCTGAAGCACCTACCACAACCGAAAGTAACATCGTGCAACGAGTTAATTTAGGAGAAAGGAAGGGAAGAAAGGGAAATAAAAGCCAAGTTGAGATTACGTGCAAATCTCCTTCAAGATGACTTCAAACATATATATGCCTTGTTCGACGTAATTTATTAGAGTTGCTTATAATTTATTTCATATATATATATATATATAATTTTAAGATTAATATCAACAACTACACCTTCAATATGTAGACAAGCGTAGTCTAAATTAATAAACAAAATTATGATGGCTCAGGGATTGAAAGGCGAAACAAATTAATATGAAACAGTAAAATGTAACTATATCCAGATTTGCATAATACAAAACAATAAAACCAACATAGGATGCAACAAATCAGAATTTGGAAGACTAAACAGTACAAAAACAATGAAACAGAGATGTACACAAAACTAATACAAGAGATAATGCAACAAAGGAACTATATGACCGATGAATGCAAACAAAACATAAATTAAAGCATGCAAAATATAGATTAAAAGAAAACAAAGCCATGTGTAAGAAACAACACACAACTTCAAAAGTTTACAAAACAGTGCGTACTCATGAAGTTATATGTTCGTAAAATCTTTACTTTGATTGATGTAAATTAAGTAAATGCGTTTATATATTTCATATATTACAGCAAACTTTCAGCTATGGGAGACCGGCAAACTAGAACTCAACCCCCCAAATTTGGTTTGTCACTAACAGTGCAAGGGATCTCAAGTAGAAAATGAAGACAACCCAACATTTATTTTCTTAGTATTTGACATCTTCAGTGGGTGTCGAGCACAACTTCAAAAGATTTCATGGTTCCATCAACAGTTTCTTAATATAATCAAGAACTTCGTCCACATTAACCGTCCACGCCACTGAAACAGGGGCATATCCTGACCATGGGTTGCTTGAATCCCATCTGTATCAGATTATTAAGATAAATTTAGAAACAATAATGAAAAAGACCAAAATACACCCCCAAAAAAGCATTTTACTTGAAATGGGCACGGAATCCCCTTTCCCCTAATCCCTATCGCTCTATCCCAATGCACTCCCAACCCGATCATTTCTTGAAATTCCCACAAAACATCAATTACATTAGGACATAGGGGCATAGGGATTTGGGAACGGAGTATCCTTGGTCTTTTAAACGTACTTTTGTTCATGGTCCAGCAGTGTGTGCCCCATATATATCCCCTCTGTTCCAACTCGCACAACCCCCTTCTTGTATGTAAAGAGGTCAGGTCGAACTAGTGCCACAAAACTGACTGGGTCATGGAGGAAAATCCCTACATTTGTAAACTTCAATTTGTTATTTTGATTAATGTTTATAACTGACTATGTTGATTAACAATCAAAACAGCACAACTTTGATATTGTCCAATTTATGAACAGAAGTTACCATAGACTCCAAGACACTCAACATGCCAATCTCTGTAAAATTTGCACATAGTGCTTAACAATTGAGCATGTCTTCCCTCAGACAGCCTCAATTCATCAAGGTCAGCATCTGAAACCGCAAGATAGCTTTAATTTAGCGGAGAAATAGATTCGTTAAAGCACGATACAAAACAAAAACTCTAACAAAGAAAACTAAAAAGGCGAAGCAGGACCTGTCATTATGACTTGTCTTGTAATGTTTATGCCAGTAATAACAATATTTGCCCCAGATGTAAACACAATATCAGCTGCTTCTGGGTCACCATAAATCTGCAAGTCGGAAAAGGCAAGTGGTGTAATTTGACAGAATGAGAACTTAAACTAGTTTCCATATGGTCAGTCCAAACTGAGAGGGATCAAAGGACTGATAAGCATCTCAAATGTGCCCAAGTCCTAAGACTTCATCTTTAGCAAGCCTCGCCAACCTGACATCCCTTGTAGTTAGGAATCATTACATGGACACTTCTGCGTGTATGAAGTACATTTGTCGGACACTAACACTCATGGGTCAGGATATGAGGTTTGTCTGGCATGTTTAGTTAAACATTCACCTAACAGATATATTTAGTAATTCACATTTATTGTGAAACAAAGTATAAAGTACCCATATTATGCATGAATGCTATAAATGCACCTTGTAAACACCATTTACTCAAGAAAATAAAACAAGTATATAGAGAAATAGAAATATGTTGTCATGTCCCCATATCCTCAACATAATAATTAGTTGAGGACACCAAGACACATATCCGCATGGCAAGCAACAACTACATCAGAGTCCCTGTAACATAGCAACAGAACTCATACTTCACATGCCTGGACTGCACGAGCTACTACTCCAAGGAGTATACAATGCCACTCAAGTGCCTAAGCCAGTAGGCAAGGTTCAGGCATGCCAAAGTGTTCAATGTTCATCACAAGACTCTGGGGGGTCTTGTGACTTAGAGGCTAAAGATGGACGTTCTGCCTTAGCACTATGCACTCACGAGCAAAGCTGACTTAGGCATTCTGTCGAGAGAGAGACCGCATCACAAAAAACTATGTATGGGACCTCGGTAATTGAGATTTGGACAAATCCTAATAATTAAATATATTTCTACCAAATCCTAACAGAATTCTAGGAAATCTTGATAGTTAATTATGGTCACATGCCTAACCTTCTATAAATAGAAGTACATTTTGCAACATAAGCTTCCCCTGCATCACACCCTTTCAAAGATCTCTCTCTCTCTCTCTCAAATGGATCGACGACCGTGACTCTTCCCCAGATGTCCTCTAAGTCCTTGGTGTCTGATGTGTTTTGCCACTCTCTAATGAACCTTTGACCTCTAGTCAGCCTCTTCACTTTTGTTTTGACTAGCAGCCAACTGATTTATTTACAACAGATGGAGGGGGTTCTTTATGCTTGTCATTTAAGAAAATTTGATCTTTGGGCAGTTCTGATATGGAAAATTTGGAATCACAAAAATCAGGTGCATCACCCGTGACCAAATGCAAGACCCAAAGATGATTTTTTATCGGCAACTAATTATTTACAAGAGCAAGGGAGTGGAGATCAGACCAAATTCTTAATTCCAGCTGAGCACTTACATTTGCTTCAGCAGCAGGATTGACATTTCCCAATGCAAAGAAAGATCCGCCAAGGATGACCACTCTTTTCACCTTGCTTGCAAAGGATGAGTCCTTTTTGACAGCCTGATCAAAACAAAATGCATCTTTAAGATTGATAAAACTTGGAAATAAATGTGATATGCACCACAGTGAACGGAAGGGAAGGATACTAAAACTTACCAAAGCCAAATTTGTCAATGGTCCAAGTGCCAGTATAGATACTTGGCCAGGATATTCAGAAACCATATCCACCAAAAATTCTGATGCAGTCTTCTCAATTTTCTTGGATTTTGGAGGAGGTAAATTTGTGTCCCCTAATCCATCTAAACCGTGAATGAAGTATGCAACATCTGGTGTTCCACCCTGTTCCAAAATACATTAAATGCACATGTAGCCTGTGTTTTGATATAGTCCAACTGTGCAGAAAAATATAGATAAACTCGTAAAAGAAGTTACCTTTAGAGGCTCAGGGCTACCCTCTGCCACAGGAGCATCAGGATATCCTGCAATCTCACCCTATCCATTTCACATCGAAAATAATCATGAAAATGTTCCAAAAACAT